TCGCGGAGTTGGTTGGGGTCGTGGAGTTGGTTGGGGTCACGGAGTTGGTTGAGTGGTGCGAGTTGGTTGGAGTGTTTTGTTTTTTTTTGCCCTTATTAACATTTGTCGAGGATCGATCGATATTCATTTCATCGAAATAGGATTGTCATATGGTTTTCAAAAATTTTTATCATTTTTTTAAAATCGGAATTCTCTTCTTGTTCTTTCATTCTTCGATCTCTGATTCTAATTTGTGTGCACAAATCGAAATTTAAAATCGGAATTCTTTTCTTTATGTAGAAAATCAGAATCAATCCATTTTCATCTGAGAATGAAATAAATTGGCTCTTGACAATTACATCCTACCCAGAATAGAAGAAAAAAAAAAAAATGAAGAAGAGTTTGAGATTGATTCCATAATAATCACATGAGAAACATCGAATTTATTTTTTCATGGAATCCATCCAAAATTCCGAAGATTAACACATCCACATCCATCTACAGACATCGATCAAGATCCATCTGCAGATTCGGAATCGCAAAATTATCAACAATATATGATATGATCAGAAAAAATCCATTTCAAATTTTCAAAGTCTTTCTTCAACACATCCATCATCTCAAAATCATCCATGATGACGCTTCGACTTCATACACATAGACATCCTGATATATCCTAAAAAAAAAAGCGCAGTGATGAATTGCGACTTAGGTATGTGTAGTTAAATGAAAGAATTCTCTGTATGAAGTGGTTTGCTCCTTTTGTGCCGCGCCGCCTCTTCAGATCCTTCCTGTTTCGCTTGTCCGCGAGCTGCTCTGGTGTTTGGAGTCGATCGGGTGTATGGCCTTCAAGAAGAATTTTGCAAACTTGTGTTGGCAAGAATGAGTTTTTGTGTCGCCTGTATGCGGTTTGCGCGTTTGTCGTAAATTTAAATTTGAATTGCCTTGATTTTGTTTTGAGTTTTGCAAGGACAACTTGTGAAGGAACAGTGTGTTTTCTTCCTTCTGATTTTGTGTTCGCGTTATAACGCTTCCTCAACTTCAATGAGTTCCTCGGCCTCGCTTCCGCAACAAAAAAGGACGAAGAAAAGAACAATCCCGACCAGGATGGTTGCGAGTAGCCCGGTATCAAAAGGAAAAATCCCCCCTCCCCATATCGAAATGGAAATCTGGGATGCAGAATTTGTGTACACAAATCGGATTTGTCTTGCGGTGGGGGGCTGCAGACAGATACAAAGCCCGGAAAGGCGTGGCTTGGGGTAGATACTTAGCATGGCAGACGTCTGCCCTAGTAGCGTAGGAGCAGCATTACAAATCGCCTGCGAAATGCAGCGGAAGCCCTGGCTTTGCTCTCTTGCAAGACAGACTCGATTTGTCTGTGATCACAAATCAGCATCACAAATTTTGAAAAGCACGCCTTTTCGATATTGGGAGGGCGGATTTTTCCTCGCAATACCCGGAGGAGGCTGGTGCTGCTGTTTTGTCCGTGTCGTTGGTCTCATTGGAGTCGTTTGCGACCTTTGCCTCGATGATTTGCGGGGGGTCAGTACCCTGAGTAAAAACGTCCCCACCACATCTTTGTCATGCTAAACAAAAGTGCGGCACACGACACTTTACTTCACGCCAACGCTCACCACATAGTTGTCATGCAAATTTGCATGCTTAAAATGCAAATGCTTCTCATGTGGCTAGTTGTGTTTTGGAATCTGTGCTACCCGAATCAGCATAGTTGTATTCTACTTGGATCTGTCATACTTCTGCACGAGGTAAACGCGACTACATTGCGCACCCAGACTTGTGATGCGCAACCGTTAAAGCTTCAGCTTGTTAATTTGTTTAGCAGCTTTCCCATCTCCTTGACTATGGGGTGCGGACGTTTTTACGCAGGATAGTCGACCCACAGGCAGATGCATCCAAGGAAAAAAGTGCTACAGTTACACACCTGTAGTGAATTCAGCATCACAAATTTGCCTCGCATGACGCTAATGCAGAGATCATACGGCAAAACGCACACGAAACGAGACACGCATGTCTTTTGCGCATGACAGAGCAGGTCGTCTGTCTTGCATGTTTTGCAACACAATGTCCAAGTGTAACAGTCTTTTCTTTGCATAAGATGCGTTCGATCGGTTCGAACTCGTGGTTCTCGTAGCAGTATCAAATGCAGGTGCGTGTGGGTCTGGAAGGATGCAGAGGTTTGTGATGCAGCTTTCGCACGATCAAGGAGGTCTGGCATACACGCTGTAGCATCACAGGCTTCGAGAATTCCACTTAATGCGTAATCCGCATGATAAAGCCCTTCTTTCGGTGGCAAGAATTGTGCAACCTTACCTTTGGCTTCTAATCTATGCATGACAGATTTTTGGGTGATGTAAAATGCGCTGCATCACAACTTCGCACAGTTCCAGACCCAGACATATTCGCACCCGATAAGCAGCCTGTACTTTTGCATTGAATGTAGCCATGATCGCATCCTGGGTAAAAACGTTCCCACTCC